CAATGCGATAAAAAAACATTTCTGAATTAAAATTCGAGAATGGAACACTTCATCACGAGAGAAAGTAATAAATTGAAATTCTAAAATGGAGGATCGATCAATAAAACATTGCTATTTGAATCCATCATATTATTTTTCTCTTCCTCTCTTTTCTGTCTCGATTTTCTCTCTTTATTTTCTATCTCTCAGTGTTGAAATTTATATTTTTAAATAGTTGTATTTCGTTCGAAAATACATGTGTATCTCTCTATGAATATCTATATATATTTATACAAATATATAAAGAGAGAGAGAGAGAGAGAGAGAGAGAGAGAGAGAGAAATTCTTGGAGCGGTATATTTCGCGTGTATTAATCTGCATAAACTCATTCCTATGCAAATGAAGAGATTCGACATTAAACTAGGCACCTTGAAGCCCACAGCTTATTTCGCGGCTTAGGTTAGAAATGTAGGCTATTTATGTATATCGCGATGTGCCGATAAATGCATTTTCCTTCGCAATATCTTCGACAGGATAATTCCCTCCTCACCCTTTTTGGGTAAGAAGAGGGACTATGCTAATTATCCTCCTACACAGGAACGCGCAAACTTTTCGGTGGCTTAACTAAACTTGTTTATTTTCCCCTAAAATAATTCACTTTCTGTAAATACTAAATAGTATATATGTTTCATGCAGGAATTCATCAAATAATTCTTCAATTTTTATTTATTTCAAACATCTTTTTCAAATTTATTTACAACTTTTATTTCTTTATTATTATTATTATTTTAATATAATTTTATTTATTCATACAACTCAAGCGTATACAGTAAAAAAAAAATTAAATTTTAACTCCCCAGGGGATTCTGTAAAATTCGCACCCATTTGGGAGTTAAAGCGAAGGAAGTTAGACAAAGGGAGTTAAAATTTACACAGTAAAAATAAGATTCAACTCCAAAAGGGAGTTAATTTAATAATTAACTCCTTTTTGGAGTTGATTTTTAACTCGAAAAATTTCACTCCCAACTCCAGTGACCGTCAACTCCTTAAATTTCTTACCTACTTGTACAGGCGCATACTAAGTTCCCCTTTATAGCCCAGTGGTCAATAAAGTGTCCATTATAACCCTAGGGCAATAATGAGCACATTATTAACCTGAGAGCAGTCCATTATTTCCCTAGGGCAATAATCACTGTCTTAGCCGCACTATTATTGCAGGACTCGAGCTAGATCCGTAAATTTCGTAAAGGTCCGTAAATATGTTTGAAGTCCGTAAAAGTAAAAGACAAAAAGTTCGTAAATTGTACGATATAATTTGGAGAATTTTAGAGAAATTACAAATAATTGCAGAAATTCAATTATGTTCGAAAATTTTTAAAAATTCTCGTCAAAATTTCAATTATCTTTAGAAATAATTAAATTCTTCTATTCGAAATTCAATTATTTTAAAAAATTTAAAAATTTAAATAAAATTCTTTGAAAAATTTCAATTATTTTCAAAAATTTTCCTCAATTCAATCAGTTTTGATATTTACCATTTTAATAAAATATTTTCCGAAACAATTCAATTATTTAAAAAAAAATTTCATAAAATTCTACACAAAACTTTAATTATTTTTATAAAATAATAAAAATTTCACAGGAATTCAATTATTTTCATAAATAATAAAACTCATTGCAGAATTTAAATTATTTTTAATACAATTTTAACCGAATTCCTCGAAAAATGTCATTATTCTTATATAAAAATATTATTAAAATTTGTCAAAAGAATTCAATTATTATTTAAAAATTTGTTGATAAAATTCTTTATGAGAATTGAATTTTAAAAAACATTCAATTATTTAATAAATTGATTTTGTATTTAAATAATTGAATTCTACTAGAATTTTCTAATAAAAATTGATTTAAAAATGAAGTTCAGTTAAAATTTTCGATTATAATTGAATATTAAAAGCATTAGAGCGTGAATTTTTAGAAATAATTGAATTTTGAAAAGGTTTCGAATTTAAATCTTTGAAAATCTGAATTTTTTACATTTTTAACTATAACAATTTTTTGGAATTAATTTTTTTCAGAAAGTGAATTTGAAAACAAATAAATTTGAAAATTCTCGAAGAACTTTTCCAAAAATTATTAAAAATAATGCATTTATAAAAGAATTTTAGTTAAAACCACGAAAGAAAGATTTAATTTTGAAAAAATTACAAATTATTGAATAAATTCAATTATTTTCAAGAGTTATAATATTGCTTTTAAAAATTAGTTATTGTTCAAAAATAATAAAATTTTTTATAGGGATCCAATTATTCTCGAAAATAATAAAACTCATTGCAGAGATTCAATTTTTTCACAAATAATAAAAATCATTGCATTGTTTCAATTATTAATATCAATTTATAATAATTGAATTTTAAGAAACATTCAATTATTCAATAAATTATTTATTTGTGTATTTAAATAATTGAATTTTAGTCGAATTTTCTAATAAAAATTGATTTAAAAATTAATTTCAGTTAAAATTTAAGATAATAATTGAATATTAAAAGCAATATAGTGTGAATTTTTAGAAATAATTGAATTTTGAAATTAATTTTTTTGAAATAGTTTAATTGCATTTTTTTGAAATTATTTCATGTTTTTTTCTAATATTTATTTAATTGAAGAATTTACGAATAATTGAAATATCGTAAAATCGATCTCTCCGAGTCGAAGACTCGGAGTCATCGATATCTTTATGTTTTATAGTTATAAAAATTTAATTTATAGTTTTAAGTAAAATGTTCTCTTATTTGACTCGGACTGGTTATATTTTTGTCAGTAATTGATCCGTAATTTTTCATTTTTGGTCCGTAAGGTCCAAAGTTTTAAATAATTTTTTAATACCTTCACTGATTTGAGCCCTGTTATTGCCCTAGGGGAATAATGGTCAATAAAAACCACAGGTCAATAAAACTCATTATTACCCTAGGGCAATAATTAGTATCTTATTAACTTATATTAATTAGTAAAATATACATTCATTTTTTATTATAATATTAAATAAAAATAAACCTTAGGGCAATAAAAACCGCAGGTCAATAAAGTACTCATTATTACCCTAGGGCAATAATTAGTATCTTATTAACTTATATTTATTGGTAAAATGCAAATTCATTTTTTATTATATTAAATAAATATTCATTCAATTGATTATATGAAAAAAAAAAACATTTTTAATATATATTTAAACTACTACTATTTTTACTAGAAGTAGGAAGTATTCTAGTAGGAGTAGTATAGTAGTATAGCAGTAGGAAGTCGAGTATTTGATCCTATCCGGAATTAATAATAGAAGTTAATAAGCAATTTACATTTTACCAATGAAGTATAGTAAAAGTTACTTTGTATATTTATCCCTCCATATTGCGTTTGGTTAAGAACTAAGAAAATAGAAATATAGCCTCTATACACCAACAAATACATAAACTGTTTTCGTTTCTTTTTTCTCTTACTTTTTTCTTTCATAAATATATTATACTTGAATTACTTTTTTATTTATTTTATATATTATTCTTTCCAACTTGTCTTTTATTAAAATTCGACTTTTTACAATTGCCATTATTTCTCGCTTTTTTCCCTTCCTATATAATTTCATATCTCATTTTCTTATATGCTCCCTATTATTTGCTCAACTACTTATCAAAGAAGTCTTGACAATCAGATGGGTATATATAGTATAGAGGTAGATTCGAACTACACTCTCTAGTCTAGAAAGAGAGAGAGAGAGAGAGGGATTTGTAAGATGTACTGCATATATATTTATGTATGTTTAATGAAAGAGGAGACTTTTTGCCCATAAAATTCATTATTTATTTAAATGTAATTGAAATTATTGTTGCTATTGTGTACAGTATACAAGTTTGTCTCGATACTTTGAATGTTAAAAAAAGATTTTTTACCCTTCACACCTGCGATACTGACGTGGTCAATAGGGATTCGCTTCATATCGAGCATTGTAGAGTCGTTTTCCGTTTTTTAGATTCGTTGACCTTATATCTATACATGTGGAAAGAGAGAAATGGAGAGAGAGAGAGAGAGGAGAAAGAGAGAGATGTATTAGAGCTGTTGAATTAGGTGTCAATCTAGAGATCGATTTCAGATACGCTTTCAGAACTGAGAGTATAGCGTCCTGAATAACTATAGAAATTACCCTGGTACGTGCATTCACGTGAATGCATAGCCATCGAATACGTGGTCATTCTTATGCACGAGTAGATCGAGAATAGAACTTTCATGTTACAATTTAAATATTCTCTGTAGGAAGATAAGTGCTTTTTGAATTCTATATATTTATGAATATTTTAGGGAAATGTAATTTTTTTTTGTAATATTAATTTTAAACCTTATTTTCAAATTTTTATTAAATCTTTCTTTAAACTTTTACCTTTTATTATTAAAACTAAAACTTTTATTTTTTCATTATATAATATACCCTCTAAATTTGGGTCAGAAGCGCGATTTTTTAATTTGACTTTGACATTTACTTTTTGACTTCCGAAGTGTGTCAAAGTCGATTCGATTTTTTCATTGCTGTTGTAAAAATTGCATCAACTTTTATTTAACTTTAGGTAATTTTCACTTTGATTTTAACTTTTAAAATGAAAGTCGAAATCAAAATTAGAGTTCAAGTCAAAGTCAAATGTAAAAATCAAATTCGAATTTGAGGTTAAAGTCAAATGTAAAAATCAAATTCGAATTTGAGGTCAAAGTTAAATTATAAAATTAAACCCTACTTTAAGTTTTAAATGATTTGAATCATGACTTTTTGCTTTCAAATTATTAGTTAGAATTTACTAATTGGTCAATTGCAAATGGCTGATTGTTAAGGTTCGTTCATATACCACGTGGACGAGAAGTTTTCACTTGATAACAAATCAAATATCATTTTAAATTTAAGAGCATGAGAAAATACTGTTTAAAAATTTATTAACAGAAATATATATAATGAAACTGTAAAAATAATATTTTTCTATTTCCAGGTCGACGAGACATGATAATGATGAGAACAAGGTGAGACAAAAAGGAGGGAAATCCCCTCAGTTATAAAGCTATGGTGAAAGGTTTCGGACGTCACCTCGAGAGGGAGCCACCAAACGTCCACTTAATCGTCTTCATCTTCATTCTCCTTGCTGTTACAACAACACGTGGCGTTGATCTCTGTAAGTAATTAAATCTTATTATTTTCCATATTCATTATTTATTTTTCTTAAACAAAAGAATTTTTCATTTACTAAAAAAATTAACTTTATATTTTCACTATCAAGATAAGAGTCCGTTCAAAAATAATTTTTCCCTGATTCATAAAAATTTTCTAGGTTATTCCATTCATTTATCCTATAAGTTAATGAATTTTAATTTAATCGCGTCTTAAATGTCCGCTACTTCAAATTATTTAACAAATAAATATACAAATAAACATTGGCGGAAACATTTTTTGAATTTAAATCTTATTTTCATAAACTATTGTTTTTTATAATTAAATAATCAATTTTTAACAAAATAAATGATCTGTTAAAATATTTTTCAATTTAGTCTAGTAATTTTTAAAAATATTGGAGCACAAAAAAATATTTCGTCTATTTTAACGTTCAAAAATTTTGGGAAAATTTTATATCCACGATGTTTTACGATTTGTAAACAATAAGTAACTTTAAAAATAAAAAAATAAGGTTAAAATCGATTTTAGTAACCGCTATAAATATTATTTTACTTTCACTAATAATGCGCTTCGATTTTTCAAAGATGGTCCAACCTTGACTACACTTTTTTTTAAATGTTTCTAACTTTTTTAATTTTATAACAATTAATTTACGATGTTTAGCAAACGTTTTCCTCTTTCATAGATCTTTCTAACAATATAACTCAATTGCTTAAATTTAATTTTAAAAAAGTTTTACACAAAGTTCAAACAACGGTCCAACCCTGACTACTTTCGCCTACTTCATGGACATTGATAAATTTTATTATATTTACTTAATTTTTAAATAAATAATAATAATATATTATAATATATTTCTTCATTTTCTTCTTAGGGATTCAATTATTTTCACAAATAATAAAATTGTATTTTTAATACAATTTTAATCGAATTTCTCGAAAAATATAATTATTCTTAAAAATTTTATTAATATTCTTCGAAAGAATTCAATTATTTAAAAATTTGTTGATAAAATTTTTTATGAGCATTGAATTTTAAGAAACATTCAGTTATTCAATAAACTGTTTTTTGTATTTAAATAATTGAATTCTAGTAGAATTTTCTAATGGAAATTGATATAAAACTGGAATTTAATTAAAATTCAAGATTTTAATTAAATATCAAAAAGATTAGAGCGTAAATTTTTAGAAATAATTGAATTTTAAAATTAATATTTTTGAAAAAGTTTAATTGAATTTTTTTGAAATTATTTCAAGTTTTTATTTTCTAATATTTAGTTAATTGAAGAATTTAAGAATAATTGAAATTTAGTAAAATTGTATATTGTAAACAAATGTAATTTTATTAAAATTCTTCGAAAGAATGCAATTATTTAAAAATTTGTTAATAAAATTCTTTATGAGAATTGAATTTTAAGAAACATTCAATTATTCAATAAATTGTTTTTTTGTATAATTAAATAATTGAATTCTAGTAGAATTTTCTAATGGAAATTGATATAAAAATGGAATTTAATTAAAATTTAAGATTTTAATTGAATATCAAAAAGATTAGAGCGTAATTTATTAGAAATAACTGAATTTTAAAATTAATTTTTTTGAAAAAGTTTAATTGAATTTTTTTGAAATTATTTCATTGAAAAATTTTATTTAACACTAAAATATAATTTAATTTTGCAGAAGTAACAAATTATTCCAGAAACTTAATTATTTTCAAGAGTAATAATATTCTTCGCAAAAATTAAATATTGTTCAACATTAATAAAATTAAAAACTAGATTATTTATCTATTTTATTTATTTATTACTTATTTAAAATATATGTCAGCCTAACATAAAATTAAGTACATTAATGATTATAAATTTTTACTAATTAATGTTAATTAATTAAACACTTAAAAATAAAATAAAAATAAATAAAATTCTTCTTAGGGATTCAATTATTTTTACAAATAATAAAACTCATCCCAGAATTTCACTTATTTTTAATACAATTTTAATCAAATTTTTCGAAAAATGGAATTATTCTTAAAAATTTTATTGAAAATCGTCGAAAGAATTAAATTATATAAAAATATAATGATAGAATTTTAAGAAACATTCAATTGTTGAATAAATTATTTATTTTTGTATTTAAATAATTGAATTTTAGTAGAATTTTTTAATAAAAATTGATTTAAAAATTAATTTTAGTTAAAATTTTAGATAATAATTGAATATTAAATGCAATATAGCGTCAATTTTTATAAATAACTGTATTTTAAATCCTTATTATAAAACATGAAGAAATCGATCGGAGTTATCGATATCTTTATGTTTTATAGTTATGAAAAATTTAATTTATAGTTTTAACTTTTAAGTAAAATTTTTTTTTTATTTGACTTGGACTGGTTATATTTTTGTCAGTAATTGGTCCCTAATTTTTCATTGTTGGTCCGTAAAGTCCGTATTTTTAAATACTTTCACTGATTCGAGCCCTGTTATATATCTCAATTGCTTAAATTTATTTTTAAAAAAAGTTATAAACAAAGTTTAAATGATGGCCCAATCCTGGCTATGTTCGCCTACTTACTGGACATTGATGAATCTTATTAAATTTTCTTAATTTTTAAATAAATAATATAATTCTGTTGTCAATGAATAATAACTTGAATTAATTTTTATTTTAAAACAGTTCACTTATTTTAATTAATTAATCACTTAATGATTCTAAATTTTTACTAATTAATGTTAATTAATTAATCATTAAGTGATTAATTAATTAACATTAATTAGTAAAAATTAAAAATAATCAATGTATTTAATTTGAGGTTAGGTTGACATATATATTAAATAAATAATTAAAATTGATAAATAATCTAGTTTTTAATTTTTGAGGAGCTCGACAACAAAAATGAGCCTATTGGTTTTTAAACACAACATTAAACGATGGTCAGTCAAGATTATACGGGAAATTCAAAACATGCGCATAATTATTCTTGGTGCGAAGGAAGAAACCCTGTAGACACCAAAATATCCATGTATAGAGCAAATACAGTTATTATTATTAACGAAGGTGCCGGAAACCTCGACGTATATCGCTCCCTGGAGTTCGTGGGCTCTCGTAATTTTCTCTCTCATTCCCTCTCTTAGGACTCTCTTATACATAAACTCGAGACTATTCCGTCGGTGTGTATACATGTTTTCCTTTTGTTGAGAAGAGTCCAGTAACGAGCTATGGCTGACCAAACGTGCCTTATCAAGCTCATAAATCGAACATAAATAGCCATTGCCAACATCGCATAGTAGGTGATTTTAACTTGAAACAACAAGGTGTGAGTTGCTCACTTTTTAGCGCACTTTGGTTTTTAAAACACGATAAAATGTTTGTTAGAAAGGGGCAATAAAGTTTGTAGAATGCGTCAATGATGGGCTTTCAAGTGTTTTTTTTTTCTTCTTTTTTGTTTCCTTAAACTTATGATCTTTATAATATATATGTGTGTCTGTGTTATATGCGTATTATAAACTGTCAAGTCCTACACTTATTTTTTATGTTGAAAGTTAGTGTTTATCATTTATTATATTTTTATATGCTGTTTCAGCAAATTTTACACTTTTCTCTTCGCAACATGTTACCTGTTTTTGTTGCGTTAAAAAAAATTTTTCTTGGGGTTTTTAAATGGGTATTAGATCCCCTAGGTTCTAAAATAGGTTTTTTATTCCCTAGGTTCTAAAATTGATTCTTTGATCCCTAGGTTCTAAAATGGGTATTATATCCCCTAGGTTCTAAAATGGGTATTCTATCCCTTAGGTTCTAAAAGAGGTTTTTATTCCCTAGTTTTTAAAATGGACATCTTATTCTCTAGGTTAGAAACCATTTTACGCCCCAAACTTTAAAAAAGGTATTTTATTCCCAAAGATTTAAAAAAAAAGAATTTTTTGAAAAATTACAAATGAAAAAAAAAATGAAAAAAATTCAATTATTTTCAAAAGTAATAAAATTCTTCGCCGAAATTCAATTATATTCAAAATTTTTTTCAAATTCTGGACAAAATTTCAATTATCTTTAAAAATTTTCCTCAATTTAATGATTTTCAATATATCAATTATTTTAATAAAATTTTCCTAAAGAATTCAATTATTTAAAGAAATTGTAATAAAATTCTGCGCAAACATTTAATTGTTTCATAAAATAATAAAAATTTACCAAAAATTCAATTATTTACAAATTTTTTATAAATTTCTTCATAATATCATAAAATTATTTTTCTAAATAATAAAATCCTTTTTAGGAATTTAATTATTTTCATAAATAATAAAACTAATCGCAGAATTTCAATTATTTTTAATAAAATTTAATTCGCATTCCTCGATAAATGTAATTATTGTTAAGAATATTATTAAAATTCGTCGAAAGAATTCAATTATTTCTAGAAACTAAAAAAAATCTTCTCAAGAATTCAATTATTTTCAAAAGTAATAAAATTTTTCAAAGAAATTAAATTATATTCAAAATTTTAATAAAATTCCTGGCAAAATTTCAATTATTTTCAAAAATTTTCATCAATTTAATGATTATTATTATATCAATTATTTAAAAAAAAATTTCCTAGAGAATTCCAGTATTATAAAGTATTTAATAAAATTCTACACAAAGCTTTAATTATTTCCATAAAATAATAAAAATTTCACAAAAATTCAATTATTTACAAATTTTTTATAAATTTTTTCGCAATATAATTGAATTATTTCTCTAAGTCATAAAATTTTATTTAGGAATTTAATTATTTTCACAAACAATAAAACTCATCGTAAAATTTCAATTATTTAAAAAAAAATTTTTTTCGAATTCCTTGATGAATGTAATTATTATCAAAAATTTTATTAAAATTTGTCAAACGAATTCAATTATTTAAAAATTTGTTCATAAAATTCTTTATGAGAATACAAATTTTAAGATAAATAAATAAATTTTAAATTTTAAGAAACATTCAAATATTCAATAAATTATTTTTTAATAGTTGAATAATTGAATTCTTGTAGAATTTTCTAAAAAAATTGATAGGAAAATGGAGTTCTGTTAAAAACAAGTGAATTTGAAAATTCTCAAAACACTTTCAAAAATTATTCAAAATAATGGATGTATAGAAGAATTTTAGTTAAAACCACGAAAAAAAAATATAATACAATTTTTATCAAATTTTTCGAAAAAGTAATTATTCTTAAAAATTTGATTAAAAATCTTTGAAAGAATTAAATTATTTAAAAATATGATGATAAGATTCTTTATGAGAATTGAATTTTAAGAAACATTCAATAATTCAATCAATTATTTTATTTTTGTATTTAAATAATTGAAATCTAGTAGAATTTTCTAATAAAAATTGATTTAAAAATGTATTTCAATTAAAATTTTAAATTATAATTGAATATTTAAAGCAATAAAGCGTGAATTTTTATAAATAATTCAATTTTGAAATTAATGTTTTTGAAAAAGTGTAATTGAATTTTTTTTATATTCTTTGAAGTTTTTATTCTCTAATATATATTTAATTGAAGAATTTGCGAATAATTGAATTTTCCTAAAATTAAATATTCTAAAGAAATAGTTTTGAAAATTGTCGAAGAACTTTTTCGAAAATTAATTGATTTAAAGAAACACTTTAGTGAAAATTTCTTAAAAATAATAATTGAATTGAAATGGTGAAAATAATTTTGAAGACTCGGAGTTATCGATATCTTCATCTTTTATAGTTATGAAAAATTTAATTTATACTTTTAAGTAAAATGTTATCTTATTTGACTCGGACTTCATGTTACAGTTAAACCTGTCGGAATGCAACTCTACTTTTAAAATTTTTTTTTTGTATTCAAAACTGTCCAACAAGAATTATTTTTACTTAGTACTAGAATATTGTAAAAATATGATAAAAAATTAAATTATAAAAACTATTTGTTAAGGATTGTATATTGTAATAAAATTTGAAAAGTTGAGTTGCATTCTGACAGGTTTCACTGTATATATAAATATAAAACATTGGGGAAAACCCTTTCGGTCAGTTGGCTATTTAATCGCTTATGATTCCCCTTTATGTGCATACATATAAACATAAATCTGAAACCTTTTGCCCTTAGGCCTCTTTGAAACAGTGCTATGATTCCCACTCGATATATTGTTTAACAGTTATTATATATTATGTTTTCAGCACAATGCATTGCACCGCTGGGCATGGAGTCAAAAGCAATACCGGATGCCGACATCACTGCAAGTTCCAGTTACGACAGCAGCAACGTTGGACCACATCAGGCTCGGTAAGTTTTTTACCTCTGATTTTAATATTTATTTATTTATTATTTTTTTGCCCTTTTAACTCTGTGACTTCGAGGTTTAAATCTCTTAACCAACTTCTGTTAGTTGGGAATTTTTTTGCCTAAATTTTAAGATTTCTCTTTAACTGAATTTGAAACTTTTTAATTTTAAATTATTTTAATTTTATTTTTAAAGTTTTTTACTCTCCGATCGAAGTGGGAAAAATTTTTTAAACGCATTTCGGAATATTTCTAATTAGGAAATTAGTTATTTAAGTCAATTTTTTAAACGACGAATATTTTCGTAATTACATTTTATTGTAGATTTGTAGATCAGTAGTTAAAGTCAATTTAAGTCAGACGAAGATTTTCCTGGTCTTTTCCTTAAAATTCAGTAGTTAAAGTCAATTTTAGTCAGACTAAAATCAATTATTATCAATTATTAATCAATTATTTCTCAATTATTTTTAACTTGACAATCAGTATAGTTCAAATTAAGTTTTGAATGATTTTTGTAATTATTTTATATTTGAAATCAATAGTTAAAGTCAACTTTAGTCAGTCGAAATTTTACTTGATTGTTTCCTTAAAATTCAATAGTACAAGTTAATTTTAGTCAAACAAAGTTTTTCGTAATTATTCTAAATTTTAATTAAGTAGTTAGAGTCAATTTTATTCAGACTAAGCGTTTCTCAATTTTTTTAAACTTGTTAATCAGTGGTTCAAATTAATTTAAGTTTAACAAAGGTTTTGATAATGATTCTTAACTGGAAATCAGTAATTAAGGTCAATTTTAGTCAGACAAAGATTTTCTTCATTATTTTTACTTGAAAGCTAGTAGTTCAAGCTAATTTTAGGCAAACAAAGCTTTTGTTAATGATCCCCAACTGGAAATCAGTAGTTAAAGTCAATTTTAGTCAGACGAAGCTTTTTTCAATTATTTTTACTTGGAAATTAGTACAGTCAGGTCTCGCCAAGTGTCGTTTTCAGTAAGTGTCACGACTCAAAAAGTGTCATCGTTCAAGACCCGACAAGTGTCACTTTCCCCACTTTTTTTTACCCTCTCCAATGCTAAAAATGGACTTCCCCAAACCGGTTTGCAACATAAACCAATGAAATGACCACTTTTATTGAAGGGGCGTGGCTTTGGTCACTGACACTTACTGAGACAGACGGTCCCAAAAAATTCCCAGTGACGACACTTAGCGAGACCTGACTGTATAGTTTAAGTTAATTTTAGACAAACAAAGCTTTTGTCAATTATCTCCAAGTGGAAATCAGTAGTTAAAGTCGATTTTAGTCAGACGAAGCTTTTCCCAATTATTTTTACTTGAAAATTAGTAGTTCAAGTTAATTTTAGACAAACAATGCTTTTCGCAATAATTAACTGAAAATAAGTAGGTAAAGTCGATTTTAGTCAAACAAAGCTTTTCTCACTTATTTTTACTTGAAAATCAGTAATTCAAGTTAATATTAGACAAACGAAGCTTTTCCTATTTATTCTAAACTGGAAATCAGTAGTCAAAGTCAATTTTAGTCAGACAAAAATTATTTTTTAAGTTATGTTAGAATAACTAAAAGTTTTCGTAACTAATTCATTTGGGCAAATTTGACTATTTTCTAAGTTTATTATTTTTAACGAATTACTGAAGCAAAAAATTATCCAAGATTTTATCAATAGTTATTTTTAACTAATTCCGATTTAGAGAGCACGTAGTTGAATTTTTTCTGTAAATATTTTCCAGCATGAAATTCAAATCAAATTCACTTTATTGATAAAAAAAAAAAATCATTTATAATAAAGTGGCAAAAACTTTGAAAAATAGGGAAATAATTTTTACATTTTCGATCGTTTTTCGTTTTTATTTATTTATTTATTTTTTTGAATGTGAAATGAACGCATGTGGATAAAAATAAAGTTTATATTCATTACGCGAAATATCAGGAACAAATTGGAACGTGTGTTTTAATTGAGTACATATATATACAGCACCATGAGCATATAATATAAATTCTGCTACATTTTTTATTTTATTTTTTTTTATTTTCGTTTAAATACAAGTATTCGAGTATATATACTTGTATCATTTATACTTGAATTAACCAATTAACTTATGATGTTTATCGTTTATTTCAATGTTTGCCGTTAACACGGTATGTACATATAATATAATATTCTTCATTTTCGATCATAATTTATTTTTATATATGCTATACCATCTCAAATCATTTTTCTTTGCGAATTTTTTTCTTTTTTTTAATTTTTGATCAAAATTATCCTGTCGCATGGTATGGGGCGTGGTTGCAATTAAACGAATGCTTGATTCGATACACTTAATTGCAATGGACAGCAAGCTATTTATTCTCATATCGTAAGTTTCTATAATGTACAATGGTGCAGTATCTCCATTTTGTACTTGTCGGATTCTTGTTTCGTTTGTTTGATATTTAATGACAGGTGACGTGAGTAAATGGTGTAGTTTTTTTATAAATGTAGTATATTCAACAATTATGAATTTTAAAAAATATTTTTTAGTTAATCTAATCCCGTTTTTTTTAAAAAAGGTCAGTAAAGTCCGTAATTTGATTAAGAAAAGACGAAAAGTTTGTAAATTGAACGATATAATTTGGAGAATTTTAGAGAAATTACAAATGATTGTAGAAATTCAATTTTATTCAAAAGTAATAAAATTCTTCGCAAAAATTCAACTATGTTCAAAAATTTTTTTAAATTCTCATCAAAATTTCAATTATCTTTATAAATATCAAAATTCCTCTCCGAAATTCAATTATATTCAGGAATTTTTATAAAATTCATTGTAAAATTCAATTATTTTCATAAAGAATAATATTCATTGTAAAATTCAATTATTTTCATAAAGAATATTATTCAATGTAAAATTCAATTATTTTCATTGTAATTATTTTTAAAAAAATTTCTTAATTCATTGATTTGTATGTCTATTATTTGAATAAAATTTTTCAAAAGAATTCAATTATTTAAAAACAATTTTGGCAAAATTGTACATGAATATTCAATTATTTTCTAAAATAATGAAAATTTCACAGGAATTCAATTATTAAAAATATAGAATTTGAATAGACTTTTTCGAAAAAAAAGTCAATTATTTGAAACTTTTTTATAAAATTCTAGACAGTAATTCAATTATTTTTAAAAAATTTTAATCAAATTCCTCAGAAAATGTAATTATTTTTAAAAATGTTATTAAAATTCGTCCAAAGAATTCAGTTATTTAAAAATTTGTTGATAAATATTTTAAGAAACATTCAATTATTCAATAAATTATTCATATTTGTATTTAAATAATTTCATAGAATTCTCGTCAAAATTTCCATTATTTTCAAAAATAATAAAATTATCCTCCTAAATTCAATTATTTTCAAAAATTTTAATTTATTTTTTTTATTTGGACCCAAGGCCACAATATAAACAATTTTATTTGACAAAAATTAAGGTCCTGAAAACACTCTACGTTTCAAAAATTTTAATAAAATCCTTGGCAAAAATTCAATTATTTTAAAAAACTTTCCTCAATTCGATGATTTTTAATATATATTTACTACTTTAAGAAAATTTTCCAAAAGAATTCAATTATTTAAAAAAGTTTTTAATAAAATTCGCAAATATTTAATTCTTTTCATAAATAATAAAAAATTCACAGAAATTTAATTAATTATTTACAAATTTTTTATAAATTTATTCGCATTAATTCAATAGGTATTTATTTTCATAAGTAAAATATAGAATTTTTTCATAAACATTTGATTAAAAAATGGATTTCAGTTAAAATTTTAGATTATAATTGAATATTAAAAGCAATATAGCGTGAATTTGTAGAAATAATTGAATTTTGAAAGTAATTTTTTTGAAAAAGTTTAATTGAATTTTTTTTATATTATTTAAAGTTTTTATTTTCTAACATTTATTTAATTTAAGAATTTACGAATAATTCAAATTTTGAAAAATTGAATTGTAAACAAATGAATTTGAAAATTGTCAAACAACTTTTTTAAAAATTATTGAAAATAATGGATTTATAGAAGATTTTTATTAAAAAATTCAATTTTGAAAAAGTTGCAAATTATTGCAAAAATTCAATTTTTTTAAAAGTAATAAAATTCTTCGCCGAAATTCAATTATATTCAAAATTTTTTTTAAATTCTCGTCAAAATTTCAATTCTCTTTAGAAGTAATTCAATTCTTCTCCGTAATTTAATTATTTAAAAAAATTTTAATAAAATTCTTGGCAAAATTTTAAATATTTTCAAAAATTTTCCTCAATTTAATGATTTTCAACATTTTTATTATTTTAATAAAATTATCCAAATGAATTCACTTATTTAAAAAAATTTTAATAAAATTCTACGCCAACCTTTAATTACTAATTTTTTATAAATTTCTTCGCAATCTATAATTAAATTATTTTTCTAAATAATAAAATTCTGTTTAGGAATTCAATTATTTTCATAAATAATAAAACTCATCGCGGAATTTCAATTACTTTTAATTAAATTTCTTTCGAATTCCCTGATAAATGTAATTATTATTAAAAATTTTATTAAAATTCGTCAAACGAATTCAATTATTTAAAAATTTGTTGATCAAATTCTTTATGAGAATACAAATTTTAGGAATCTTTTAAATATTCAATACATTATTTTTTTTTTGTATTTAAATAATTGAATTCTAGAAGAATTTTCTCATAAACATTTGATTTAAAAGTGGATTTCAGTTAAAATTTTAGATAATAATTAAACATTTAAAGCATTATAGCATGCATTTTTAGAAATAATTGAATTTTGAAATTAATTTTTTTTATATTATTTGAAGTTTTTATTTTCTAATATTTATTTAATTGAAGAATTAATGAATAATTGAAGTTTCGTAAAATTGAATATTGTAAAGAAATGGATTTGAAAATTGTCAAAGAACTTTTTCGAAAATTATGAAAAATAATCGATTTAAATTTTAAAGAAGAGAT